CGGTGGTTGTGCGACGAACTGCGCGAGGAACCGGAGGTGAGGAGAGTGCGTAGCTCCTGGACGGTCATGACTGTGGAGCTTCAAGTGTTGTGTGCACTGCGCTTCTACGGCACGGGGAGCTTCCAAGGCATGGTGGCGAGCAACGAACACGTAGCGCAGGACCAAAAGACAGTCAGCGTTGCGGTCCGCGCCGTGTCCGTCGCTATCGTGCGTCGTCTCGGGGTCCAGCGTGGCTGGATCCACTTCCCCGAGACGCCGAGCGAGAGGTTCGACGCAGAGAAGGGCTTCAGGCTGCTCGGCAGGATACCCGGCGTCATCGGTTGCGTGGACGGGACCATGGCCTCCATCGTCGGCCCGTCCAAGAACGACCCCACCGTCACGAAGGCGGCGTACTGGTGCCGCAAGTACTTCCACGCCCTCAACGTGATGGTGGTAAGTACACTCCTGTTACGTAATCAAAACACGCCCCAAATCTGTAGAAAAAAAAAATATGTATTGCCGATACGGTGTAAATATGCCGTTTTATGACTGCGGGCTGTGGGGTCTCACGACTGCGCGAGCATGTGCTTTACGTAGCATGTAAGCCGCGAGACGCTTCTCCCAAAAATAATACTTGTCTGCTAAAACATGAAAGCTTCCGTCAAAAAAAAAAAAGAAAACACATTATTTTTGTTTTAAGGTAGTTGTACGTACCTTGCATCCAGGTAGGTGTGTTGACATGCATGTGTCAGACAAAATAACTTGAAAGGTTCTGAATTTGCGACTGCTTTGTGAACCATAAGTACAACCTACTACTTGTGGATTCAGGTAATTACATGTCAATATCTCTCTCACTTTCAGGTGTGCGACGCCAACTGCCGGATAATGTGCATCGACCCACGGTATCCCGGGTTGGTGCACGACTCCTTCGTGTGGCAATTTTCCTGGCTCCGAGACCAATTCGAGCAAGGGCAGCTGCCACGCGACGGCTGGTTCCTGCTTGGTGAGCATACTAAATTCATTCCTTACGCACACGGTGGCTCTCACTGCTTGAAAGCCACAGTACCACACATACTGTGCTTGTTGTGAGGCACACAGACACAGTTGCTGGAACTCCTTGAAGTGAGACAACACCCAAAGTTTGGCCATTAATCTCTGTTTATGTCCACATAACTCTTCCACTCTGCAGGCTACGAAAACCACACTACACAAATCTCAAAAGTGATAGACTGCGCAAGGCATGCGACCGCAGTGCGAGTCGCTGTCTGGTTCGGCCCACTCACTGTTATTGTCTGCCTGTATGTACTCTCTTGCTGGTTGGTTTTTGCATGAAGTTGGAGCTCTTTCGCTGATCCCTGGGGCAGGCACGTGGCCAGGATTTTGTTTCGGGGGGGGGGCCCGCCCATGACAAAATGCTGTATGAGGGGGAGGGGGAAGAGGAGGTCCCTGCAAAATGGAAGATTTTGGGGGGGGGGGGGGGGCACAGGCCCCATGGGCCTCCCCCCTGGCTACGTGCCTGCCCTAGGGGCTTGCTTGGTCGCTTTGACGGTCGTCAGTCTGTACGGAATGGGATCAATTCCTCCTTGGCCACTTGGGGCTCGCCGTATCTGCCCTCGGGTCGTCTCTGTCCCACACACTGGATTCATTTCCCTGACCCTTCTTCTTCGGTCTGCCTATATAGCTCCTCCTATTAGACCCTCCATGTCCCAGCAGGACCTGACTCCTTTCCAATCTAGCCACCCCCTCTCTTTTCCCCAACTCCCCCAATGATTAGGGGAGAGGCTCGTCGAACTGGCGCCTTATCCCCCTGCTCGCCAAAGACAAGGCCAGCGTGTTTTGCTCTGCCCGTGCCTAAGGTCACGGCCACACTCCCAAAAGCAACGAAGTTTTTATCTGTCAGATGCAAGGGCCTAATAATGCGCTTGCATACAACACAGCACCCCTAAGGAATCGAGCACTCATCCCATACAACCCACCAGGAAAATATTTGACATTTGAGAAAAGGTACATAGAAGTGACGTAATGGAATGGAGGAACGTATCCTAGCAACACTCACGTGGCGGCTCTGCCCACTTTGACGCCGCTACGTCATGGCAAACTTGACACCGGTCACCCGTTTGAGCGACGTCCGGAGCCAACCGCCGACGAGCAAAGGGAGCTACGCATTCCCCGAGGCGTCCCCGCGTCCCTACGCGCGGGATACGGGGTAGGGTTGGTAGGGTCGGTAGGGTTTCCTACGACGCGGGGAGCAGAACGGCAACCAATCCCGTGCGTCGCTGGCCGCCTCATCTGTTCTAGTACAGGTAAAAGTATTGAAAAACAATCAAAACCTGTTGGCGTTGTTAAAACAAACAGTTTTGTTTTTGTCCTTTTTCAATACATTTAAGAATTAATTGGAGAGAAAGTTGTTCCAATATTATGCGGGATGTGCGCTACGCGCCTTCTTCAAACCAAAATGTCGGACCACGAGGAGCCGGGGGTGCCGGGGGCAGCGGAGGGGTCGGCGGGACCAACGAGGAGCGCGCGAGTGACGGCTGCTCAGAAGGAGGAGCAACTCTCCTTCATGTGTGAGCACCCGTCGCTCGCGCGCAATGCCACTGGCCCCTCCGCCGCCCTGACGCGGGACGATAAGCGGCGTCTGTGGGAGCAGCTCGCTCTGCGCCTGAACGCGCTGGGGCCAGGGTTGCCAGGTAGGTTTAGCTCAAACCGCCAAAATGCCAAACGGTGTAGCCCAAAAGTAGCCAAATGCAAAAAATTTGTATAGCCAAAAAGTAGCCAAAATCCAGCTGAGTGTCAGGGTCCAGAAAATTCAAAATTATGCTCTCGCAAGTAGGAACTGGAGCCGGAACTGCATCTGCATATATTGTGTAGAAGAAGCTTCCAAGAACAGCAACATCTTGAAATGTATATGAAACATTTTATTGGAAAAACACACACAAAAAAGTATCGGCATTTTTAAGTATTGACAAGTTTGTACAGTCACATAGAGTTAACAATCGCTCGTGCAGGGCTGGCTGACCTCATACATCAGTTACGAGTTGAAGCGCACAAAAAATTCTGTGGGCTTGAAGTCCTTGCAGCACTCTTTCTTCCCAAAGAATGCGAACTTCACAAACAGGATGCTTTCCAGGGTCGAATGGGACAATCTGTTTCTGAGGTCCGACTTCGTGAGGGACACCTAACTAAGCACCCTCTCAACGGCGGCATTTGACATGGGTAGTGTCAAAAGCGCGGTGCCAAGCGCAGGGAGCAACGGGAACATGGCTGCCCCGGAGCTGTTTCTTGCCTCCCTTACATTTTTCCCAAATAGCTCTAAACAATCATCAGACGGATCTCTGATATTCGTCTGGAGAAGCCTGTACTCGGACTCCATGGCCGAGATCACCGAAGTCTGTATAAAAGGCGAAAACGCTTTGTAAAAACTGTCAAAAGAAAACTGTGTGATGCTGCCATGCTTGAGAAACAACAAATCGTTGAGAAGCTGCATGTTCGCAGGGAGGCGTTTCATCACACTTGATACACGCAATCACAAACCTCCGACATACTTCCAAGAGCGCAATTCTGTCCTTCTCGCAAAGCGAGGACTGTTCAAGAGTATTCAGAAAAACACTTCCGAAGCCACATGCACGTACATGAAGCACATTCGTTTCCCAGTCCGCGCATTCGGGTGATGCGTAATTCGGCATGATTACTCGTTTCATCAATATCGAAGAGTTGCCCTTGCACGGCTTTGACCTAGATGTAGCCTCCCAATCCACCTCTTTCCTAGGAAATGGTAGGGTGATGAAAAGAAAGGTCAGGGAGGAGGATGCAGGGGCAAGGTCCTTTTTTGTGTGAACTTGGAGGCATAAGATAAGCCACAATGAATACAGAAGCGATGCCATTAGAACTGAATCTAGGTCAAAGCCGTGGTCCTGACGTCATGCCTACGCATCTTCACAGAAAACCTTGAAAGCAGGAATCCGTAAAAAATGGACTGTTGATTTGTGTCCATCCTAAAGTGTCTTTTATCTCTCTACCCTAAAGCAAGCACAAGAAAAATAAATAATAGAGACCTCTGTGTCTTCGTGTCCCCTTATATTGCCCGCAGTCTCAATGTTTGTCATGTTGAATTATTTTTCTCCGTCATGATTTGAAATAGCCCAAAAATAGCCACATAGCCAACCGCCACATTTTGATGCCAAATAAAAAAAGAAGTAGCCCAATTTGGCTATTAATAGCCCAATCTGGTAACCCTGGCTGGGGCCTCCAACCAAGAGCTACAAGCAGTGGAAGGAGCATTGGTCCCGGCGCGTGATGAAGGCGCGGAAGCGAGCTGCACAGCTCAACGAGGCCACAAGGTGATCTTTGTAGTCTGCTGGTAGTGGAATGAAATTTATTCAGTCGTTTTCGTTGTCAACAGAAGGACCGGGGGCGGGAGCTCAACCGTGCGCCCACTAGCGTCGTCCCTGGCCAAGATCCTGACGCTGGTGGGCACAGATGCGGAGCTCGGGGCCCCTGGGGTGCGGGTCCCCGGTGAACCGGGCGACCAGCAGGTACGTACTTCAATAATTACCATCATGTTCACAAAGAGTGCAGCGCAGCGGGCACCAATGCGCTGCACCGCGGAATATCAATGATGATGCATTTAAGAAACGCGTTGACCTTTTGCAAATATTAGGAGCTCTAGCGGAAGACATTGCATCTGTCCATGTAGTGGCGAAATCTAATGTTTGACTCTCAAACAGGGACATGCATCATTTTGGCCACCTTGCTCCTGGCTGTTGCAATAAATCCCTGTGGTGTCTTGCTTGTAATTTTTGGGAAGATGATGTGCTAGCACTAGACATATATCCTGGTACTCAATGGAAACGTTGTCAAAAAAAGAGTGAGAATGCCTCCGAGGTGGCATTCTCAAAATGTTCTCCCCCGAGTAGAATGCATGCTCGTCAAAATGTTTGGTCAACTCATGGGAGGCACAGACAAGCACAGACGAGTTATAAATTCCTCTTCCAGGAGAGGCCAAGCAGCAGCAGGCACCAGATGGCAGCCGAGCCAGTGCCCTCCACCTCACGAGGTAAGCTCTCTTGCTAGGGCATCTAGGACCTATCATCAGGGGTGCAGGTATGAGCACTATCATCACCAATACTCGGTTTCCTGGCAGACGCAACGACAGGCCAGGGGCCGTGGGTGCGGCCCACCATGCCTCGCGCCTCCCCCTGGCAGTCTAGGGAGGAGCGGCACGATGCGGCTGCCATCCAGGCCGTGGAGCAGCAGAACGAGGACCAGGCTGCAGAGGAGAGGGAGTTCCGAGGCCGGGTACAGGCTCAAACTTAACCTTACATGCACTTACAACTAACAAGGTTCAGACCAAGGTGCTGCCACGAGGCCACAGAAAGCAGTGCATGTCCACAATGGTGCAGAATGAAACAGTTGTGGCATGAGCAAGGTCTTGGCAGACTGTGGGTGTATGGAAATATGCTGCCCAATGTTAATGAAACTCCTTTGCCATTTCAGCTCCTGGGGGTCCTGGAACGGATCTCTGGAAGCCTTGACAGGACGGCCTCGGGACTCGAGAACACCCACAGCACCCTGGTCCAACGGCTCCTCCTGCTGGCCAGCAGGGCACTGGAGCAGCCCACAGCCCCGGCCCACCCCGCAGCCCCAGCCCACCCCGCAGCCCCGGTCCACCCCGCAGCTCTGGCCATAGCCCCGGCCCACCCCGCTGCTCCGGCCGCAGCCCTGGCCACAGCTCCAGTCACAACCCCCGCCCCTCCTGAAACTGAACCTTAAATTTATTTATTTATTTTATTTATTACACATGCCAAGCCGGCCGTTTAATTTTGCAACCTGAGATTGGCGCAATCGTCAGATTACAGCAATTGCCAAGAGCAGGGTTAGTCCTTTTTCCTTGGCTATGACCCGTGAAGCAAGTAGAAAATATTGGCTGGGCAACAGACGGATTTATGCCCAAGCAAGCCATGTCTCGTGTCCACAACAACAATGTCCACGACAACAATATTCCTGGTTCAATCCGCAACCAAGAAAGCAATCTCTGCAAAAGCAAGCATTTATTTCTAGAGGTAGTCTAAATTAATTCGCAGTTCTTTGCAGGGGCAATCCAGATGACCTGTTGGTCTGGCAATTAAACCTGCGAACCTTTTCTGTCACTGTCTACTGCGTCTCGTGCCTTCTGCTCATAAAATAAAAAAAGGCTGTATCGATATCATTGCGATGCACTCGACACGTATCCGGAGGCAGCACGCTGGCTGTGCGACGAACTTCACAAGGTGCAGCAGCTGAAGAGAGTATGTAGCTTGTGGATGGCCATGACTGGAGCAGGAAGCGAAGTGTGCACTTTACGGCTTCCACGGGGAGGGCTTCTCTGAGGGCAAGGATGTGACGGGGTCCTTGGTGGTCAGGACCTCAGTCGTGGTGGCGAAAGGTTCCCCGTCGCTGGCGGCGTTCATGCTGGGCACCACCGTGGCGAGGGCACTGAGGGGCTTCCCGACGGTGTCCCTGGCGGTTGGGACTACCGTCGTGGCGGCCGACTCCTTGCGTGTGGCGCTCCGCACGGGCACGTCTGCGGGCGACAAGGCGCTGCCTCAGAGCCTTTCCCCTGTCCGAGAGGCCGACCGGAAGGTCGACCAGAGGGCCGGCAGGAGCCAGCCTCTCGGGAGCCGACGCTGACCCCTCCGAGCTCTAACTCTGACACTTCAGGGTCAGAGTCTGACTCCGGTTCTGGCTCGCTCGATGCAAGGCAGATGTTGTGGAGCACTGCACATGCCAAAATAATGGCAGTGGATGTTGAAGGGTGGTAATACAGAGCGCGGTGCCTTTGCAGACACCAGAATCTGTTTTTCAACAGCCCGATGCAGCGCTCCACAACAGACCTGACCGAGGAATGCGCCTTATTAAACCGGCCGCAAGCGGTGGAGGTCGCGTGGTTCCCGGGGACAGGGGTGATGAGCCAAGGCTCCAAGGGGTAGCCGCTGTCACCTGCACATGTAGAGGATGGAACATATTAGATTCTTTTCTTTTTAAAATGAAAGGCAAGAAAACGGCAAAAACAGGTGTGTGCAACTATGTCAATTATAATGTGTGACTTAAAAGTTTGTTAATATTTTTGCACTACAGTATCAGTTTACATTATGATTAATTAGCACCAGCTTGCCTGCACCCTCCCTGTTATTTCATGTAACTGTGTTTTCCCGGTGGGTTGTATGGGATGAGTGCTCGATTCCGTGTTGTATGCAAGCGCATTATTAGGCCCTTGCATCTGACAGATAAAAACTTTGTTGCTTTTGGGAGTGTGGCCGTGACCTTAAGCACGGGCAGAGCAGAACACACTGGCCTTGTCTTTGGCGAGCAAGGGGATAAGGTGCCAGTTCGACGAGCCTCTCCCCTAATCCTCGGGGGAGTTGGGGAAAAGAGAGGGGGTGGCTAGATTGGAAAGGAGTCAGGTCCTGCTGGGACACGGAGGGTCTAAGGCTCAGGGAAAAGAATCCAGTGTGTGGGACAGAGACGGCGAGCCCCAAGTGGCCAAGGAGGAATTGATCCCATTCTGTACAGACTGACGACCGTCAAAGCGACCAGGCGCCCACAGGGATCAGCGAAAGAGCTCCAACTTAATGCAAAAACCAACCAGCAAGAGAGTACAGGCAGACAGTAACAGTGAGTGGGCCGAACCAGACAGCGACTCGCACTGCAGTCGCATGCCTTGTGTAGTGTGGTTTTCGTAGCCTGCAGAGTGTAAGAGTTGTGTGGACATAAACAGAGATTAATGGCCAAACTTTGGGTGTTGTCTCACTTCAAGGAGTTCCAGCAACTGTGTCTGTGTGCCTCACAACACGCACAGTATGTGTGGTACTGTGGCTTTCAAGCAGTGGGAGCCACCGTGTGCGTAAGGAATGAATTTAGTATGCTCACCAAGCAGGAACCGGCCGTCGCGTGGCAGCTGCCCTTACTCGAGTTGGTTTCGGAGCCAGGAAAATTGCCACACGAAGGAGTCGTGCACCGACCCAGGGTACCGTGGGTCGATGCACATTATCCGGCAGTCGGCGTCACACACCTGAAAGTGAGAGAGATATTGACATGTAATTACCTGAATCCACAAGTACACAAGTAGTAGGTTGTACTTATGGTTCACAAAGCAGTCACAAATTCAGAACCTTTCAAGTTTTTCCATCGTAAACCGGAGACACGGAAAAATAAAAAAAAAAAAAACAAGTTTTTTTTTTTCCGTGTCTCCGGTTTACGATGGAAGTTCTTCACCAGCTCGCCTGTGCTTTTACCCTTTCTTCCTTTCAAGTTATTTTGTCCGACACATGCATGTCAACACACCTTCCTGGATGCAAGGTACGTACAACTACCTTGAAACAGAAATGTTTGTTTGTTTTTTTGACGGAAGCTTGCACGTTTTAGCAGACAAATATTATTTTTGGGAGAAGCGTCTCGCGGCTCACATGCTACGTAAAGCACATGCTCGCGCAGTCGTGAGACCCCACAGCCCGCAGTCATAAAACGGCATATTTACACCGTATCGGCAATACATATTTTTTTTTTTCTACAGATTTGGGGCGTGTTTTGATTACGTAACAGGAGTGTACTTACCACCATCACGTTGAGGGCGTGGAAGTACTTGCGGCACCAGTACGCCGCCTTCGTGACGGTGGGGTCGTTCTTGGACGGACAAACGATGGAGACCATGGTCCCGTCCACGCAACCGATGACGCCGGGTATCCTGCCGAGCAGCCTGAGGCCCTTCTCCACGTCGAACCTCTCGCTCGGCGTCTCGGGGAAGTGGATCCAGCCACGCTGGACCCCGAGACGACGCACGATAGCGACGGACACGGCGCGGACCGCAACGCTGACTGTCTTTTGGTCCCGCGCTACGTGTTCGTCGCTCGCCACCATGCCTTGGAAGCTCCCCGTGGCGTAGAGGCGCAGTGCACACAACACTTGAAGCTCCAAAGTCATGACCATCCACGAGGTACGCACTCTCCTCACCTCCGCCCACCTAGCAGGGGAACGTTCTGAGAACATTCCGGGAATGTTCAAAATAACATAGATAACATTCTTGGAATGTTGAAGATTTATGTAAGAACATTCTATCAACGTTGTCAGAATGTGGCGCAGGCACTTATCGCTACATTTGGGGAATGTCTTCAAAGGGATATTCTTCGAACGTTCTGAGAACGACATAGAACATTACCAGGTCATTCAATCAACATTGAAACATCCTAACAAGGTTCTAAGAACGTTCTCAGTACATCCAAAGAACTTCTGCAACATTCTCGGAATGTTGCAAATTTACATAAGAACATTCTGTCGACGTTGTCAGAATGTGGCACAGGCACTTATCGCTACATTCGGGGAATGTTTTCTAGGGGATATTTTTAGAACGTTCTGAGCATGACAGAACATTTAATCACCATTCTAACAAGGTTTTAAGAACGTTCCCAAAACATCCTAAGAGCATTCTCTGAGGAATGTTTACAAAGATTCCACAATTATGGCTTGCTTAGCTTACAGCCCCACTGAGCCATACTACATATATTGATATAATAAACTTCCTCACAGAGCGATGGATATTTTTTAATCGAAGTAATTTTTTCCAGGCCTAGCACAATCTAGCCGCTTTTCCAGCGCATTAGCCAGAGCCTGTACTATAACGGCAGCTTACTCCTACTTATCAAAACGTGCTGCATCAAACCGATTATTCACTCCGAGCGTAAGAACAGATACCTACGGCATCCCACAGTCAAGCGGCACATACCTTCTTCAAGGTATTGAATCTGAGATGCTAAAAATCGGGTCTATTCAAAACTGCCCCTCTACATACACAGTGAGTGCCAAGCTCATTATCAAATTTTGAAGACCATTGCTTTTCTCCTACACCTTATCTCACATTCCTCGGTAGACTTGTATAAGATAAAACTGATCCCTTATGCTAAGTTTCCAAAACCTCCACTTAATTTGCATATTTTTTGGCACAAAGTGGCATATTGCCGCGCGCCAAGTAGGCAGCGCGGCCGTAGCCTAACGGTTACCGCGCTTGCCTCCCACGCAAAGGGCCAGGGTTCGATTCCTGGCCACGGCTATGCATTTTTGTCAACACTGTAATGTGATGTTCTGGTAAAATCGAGAACCGTCTAGCTGATTCGAGGTCAGAATTTTCTACGCGTCGAACCTTCTACGTCGAATGCTCCAGAAGCCAACGTGTGTACAAAAGCGGCTCCGCAGGCAAGCCGGAGGGAGTTTTCGCTCCAGCGTTCGACTGTGCTGCTACGCCGACTTCGACGCCCGCGACGCTCTGTTATTATCTTTGTTCTCCCTTATTTTTTTGGCACAAGTTCGCCACATTAAACGTTTATTTCTTCCCGTTTATTTCCTTTTATTTTGGTCACCACCCGTGACATTTTGGTGGAGGTGCGGGGTAGCGCATGCCCGTGCAGCGTTCCCCTCCCAGGGCCCGCAGTGCAAGCCCGATTCCGAGCCCGGTGAGAACACCACTCGACGCGGAACCTGAAACTCGGACCAGTCGCCGCACCCAAGGTCTGCACCCGGAATACGGACTTCTGCCACCCAGGACCAAGCAGCCGACGAAGCCGACGATGGACGGCCAGCAGTCACAGACCCCGGCCGCTCCTGCCTTCATCTACCTGCCAGTCGCACCCCGGACTCCGACGCCATTCCACGGGGACGCCCACGAAGACGTCGAGGACTGGCTTCAACAGTACGAGCGGGTGGCCCAGCACAACCGATGGACGGACGACCAGCGCCTGCAGAACCTTTACTTCGCGCTCGAAGGAACGGCCAGGCACTGGTTCGAGAATCGGGAGACATCATTGATCTCGTGGACCGCCTGCAAGAATGAGTTGAGGCGAACTTTCACAAACCAGTATCGACGGGAGAGGGCCGAGGACCTTCTTCGAATGAGAACC